TTTCTTAATAATAATGAAATTGGGCCAAATTTTACATATTATTCATGACTATTCATATAAATAAAATCAGGAAGTTGGAAATCTTTGTTCACTCCAGTTTCAATCATCATAAAAAGTCAATATAGAATTATTGTAAATCCGATTCTTTTACATTCAGAATACTCTTCATTCATTGATTTCTCTTAAGTCAATCTTACCTCAATTTTAATTGCTTTTTTTCTTCTAGAACAATTCCCGATTAACAAATCTTGAGGTTAATGAATATCAGATTCATGATGACTTAAGTTAGCAATATTTATCACTTTTTATTTTTTTGCTGATTTGACATAGCTATTGATTTCCACCAGAAATCTTTTTTATTAAGAGAAAAAGTATTACTCAATGCATGTGAAAAATGCATCAATATATTCGATATAATCGATAATACATTCCCAATACACTATTGGTGTTATCTAGCATTTTCTCTAATTTAATTTTTTTGCCATCCTACAGAATTGCATCACATATATCCCAACGGTTTTGAGTTTGCGCACAACTAATCGAGTCAACAAAATTATGGTCTGTGGTTTACAAGGTGTATTGCGTAACTAGGTGGTTCCCAATTTCAAGAATCATCTATTTCTCAAAAAATTTCTATATAATCCCTTTCTGATGCTACCCATCGTCTCCTGATTCCTGAGAGATTTCACCAAACTCCAATCAAATAATCCCCTTTATGGTTGAGAAAAAAAAGATTGACATTGTTTTGTTGGATCCAGGGACAGTTTTTATAGTTCAGATGGAGAAAAAAATAGTCTCGCGGTTAAAGAAAAAAAAAATTAGAGTTCGAGCTTTTGTAATGTAAATTGTATCAGCCTCTTCTTCTCTTATTTCATTTGCCCTAAGGATAAATAGCAAAGTTCAGCGATATTACAGCGCAGAAAAATAGATGATGGCCTAGTTTTAAACAATTACCATGTTTTTTCTTAATTGTAACTTGATGAAAGGAGTTTATAAAGGAATGTTAGCAAAGGAATGTTCCTCAAAGGGAAATTCCAATCGGGATCCGATTACCTTCTTCAATATTTTTTACTCCACAAATAATCTATTGATCTTTGATTCATTTTTTTTACTATTACTTATTATTCATCATTTCATATAATTGAAAATGTAAAATTGATTTTGTTCCAAATGAATAATCACAGAAAAAATTATATTGAAAACCTTTCATACTTTTATATATTCATGTAAAATAATTTTTTCTCGAGATTTTAGTAAAAGATTATTATTTTTAAGTAAAATACTTCATAAAAAAAAAAAAAAAAATGGAAATTGAAATGTTTTTATATATGTTTCAGGTATTTTAATTCCACTATAAATCCCGTTATTTACACAATATTTTCACCAGAATTTAGACATGTGTTTAAAAAGCTGTTGTGTCGTCGACGAAGAAGTGTTCCGAGAAAGACAGTAGTTCGACACAATATGTAGGAGTGGGTGTAGGGTGGAAATAACAATGAGTCGATAATAAAATATATGTACATAAAAATAAAAGAAAAAAACAAATCATCTTTTAAATTATTCGTTTTCACATTGAAATTCCATATTAAATAAGTGGATTACTAATTATACCTTCATAAACATATGGAATTGAACAACGCGATCAGGTGTCTTTGACGTTTTTATCTGTGAAAAGACCAATTATAAATGTGTAAACTATCAATGTACAATAGAACTTTGCGACGGATTTGTGACTCTCCACCCTTGTGCATACGACTATAACTCCTATTACGAATTTTTTAATGAAATAAGTAACTTTTACAGTGTAATATAATTAACACCTCACCGCAAGATCTCATTTAATCTTGCATTTCGTATTTTGTTATATCCTGTACATAGTTATAATAATCGTTAAGAATGATCAATAATTTATTATAAAACAAATTATCATGGTGGTGCTATATATAATGATGTTGATGTGGAAAAAATATTTTTTAAGAATGTATTTCAAACCAATTATAAAAATTTCAATTTTACAAAAACAAAATCTATCCATACTCAGCTTGATCAATAATAAGCTGGAAAATCATGTGAATATAAAAAATATATATATCTATATTATTTGGATATTTACTTGAAAGGTCCTGCTAAATATAACAATGTCCTCAAGCCATGCGTTAATACTAAATATCATTAATTGAGGTCTCGAACGTATATACCCTAATGTGAATTTGTCTAAGCTTATTAGATTGAGAAGCTACACACATGCGCATGTCTGTATTCTTTACACAAGACTAGCATCTGTTATACCTCGTTGGTCTGGATTTTTACAGGGGTATATATGAAAATTCAATCAGACAGGGTAATAATTGCAACAATATTACAGATATGTTTTAAACATAATTATCAAAATGTACATAATTAATATCCTGTAAATAAATTCAACAAAACTGATGGATAAGTTGAGTATTTTTTGTTCTTTTTTGTAATCCTTTTATGATCAATATTCTACTCAATACCCAGTCTCTCTGTCCCTTGTTCTCTTAATTTTAATGAATTGATAAAGTTATGTAGTTTAACTTGCCCTATTGCTCAGGTTTATTAATATTTGAAAGTACGTAACGACAAAATTGCTTCTGTTATTAATAAGTGCACTTTCCACTCAATTAACATCAAACACAAAATAGACTATGTTTTCGGTCGAAAAAAAAAGGTCAATGTCTAAGTATTTTTCATTTCTTTGATTTTTAATTGACTCAAAAGATTTTATGTCCACTAAAGAAGATAATAAAAATGAGTTTTGAGAGTTAATTTTTTTTTGTGATAATTTTAAAAGATCACGACTCTTTTTACAAAGAGTATTACTTAAATGCATAATCTGCACATTGGTATCGATAAAAAATAAAGCATTGTAAGCGAAAAAAATATGAACACTCATCAATATAAACTTGTTAAGTGGAAAATCAATCTCTGGTTTTAATCGGGCGTTAAAATTCAGACGATTAGCACGAATATTATATTATATCATTCCCTGTTTAGTGTTTCTAATTATTTTTCGATAATTTTTTATGCGGAAATAATTTATGATCAAAAACATAATATTTTATCAATAAATTAAATCACATCATTACCTTCAGACTTTTCTTTAGTTAAATTTAAATAATTAAATTGTAAGAATTTATCGAGATGGAAATATTTTTTAACGAAAGAAAATGTTTTAACATTGAGCATTTTAAAATCGTCCGCTTTATTCATACTATAGCCATCTGGCGGACATAATTAAAAATATTTTAGTTATCATATTTATCAGAAGAGGCGCTGTAAAGAACGTTTTTTTGCATGCAGTTGGCAGACTTTTTTGCAATTTGCAGAATTTTGCAATGTGAATAGCGCCCTTGTAGACACTTTAGTGGTTGATAGCCAACTGTGAAAATCAAAACAGCTATAGTTCTAAATAAAATGTCGCCGACTTACTGTAAAATAATTCATCTATAGTTTTGACTGGAAGAGATTAAGTTTACGTGTTTGCAATTGTTTTTACAACAAATTTGCTAGTTAACAATAATTGCTCAAAAATTTCGTCGTACATAACTGATTTATGTAGTTACTTTTCGTTCATATACTTGTCCTTTACTTGGATTCGGATTATTGATTGATATTGATTGATTCATCATTTGAAATCATTTGAATTTTATTAATATAATCCTCCGCAATGTGAATTGCAAAAAATATTTAAACTAGCGGTATATTTAAAAGAATGTATATTTTTGTTGTTTAAACTTAAAATTTAGAATAAAAAAATGGCTTTCCTATGTCCAGTTCGTATACGTCGGGGAAAAAAGAAAAAACGTATGTTTTGTTAATTCTTGTATAAAACTTTAAACTTATTATTTCATGGTTAAATTATGTATAAACGAATTCTAGCTGGTTCTCACAATTTTAATTTAGAAAAAGACGGGCTAAGCAATCTCAGTGTGGGATCTAGCAGAGTTCATTTACCTCCTGGACGGATCACTGGAAGTGCAAGTATTGAAACTTTGGTCAGGGTTGGTATTGAAAAGGAAAATGGTCTTTCACCTGACAGCAAGATGGTTATAATTCACGATTTTACACCTTGTGTAGATGATGAGCTTCAAGTTAAACGAGGACAAGTATGAATTATAGATGTATATTTAAGTCCTAGATCTTAGCATTGGTATTCAAAAATACTATCACTTATAGGTAGTCAATGTTCTCTACAGAGAAAATGATTGGGTTTATGTGATTGCTGCTGATACAAGAATGGAAGGGTTTGTTCCTCATTCTTATTGCGTGCCTTATACATCACAACTTGCTGAACAAACTCTTGCCAGTTTGATAAATAATGTAAAGAAAAAAATACCACGATCGAACGATGGTGATGGGGATAATACAAATGCATCTAGACCACAGGCATTGGATTCGCAGCATACAGACACTGGTTCTGCATCTGATTGTGAAAGTTATGCAAGAAATATAGCTTCAACGGATACGAATGCTAATCGAACTAATATAACACAATCTCAAAACTCTGTTCAGGCTGTTCCTTTCCAACCTGATATTCATCCCTTTTTCAAAGTAAGTTTCCTGCTACTTAATATGTTAATTTAATATTCATTGGATTATTTTATTCTTAGGACCCTTCAGCTGGTAGATATATCGTACTTTATACGTTCGTAGCACGAGATGAGAATGATGTGAGTGTTGAAAGGGGTGAATTCGTCACAGTTTTGAATCGAGATGATCCTGATTGGTTTTGGGTTCTAAGACACTGTGATGGTAATGAAGGCTTTGTACCATCAGGTTTTGTTTATCCTGGACACGTATTGCATTCATATTCAACGACAGTAACGAATACAACACCAACAGCAACTACTGCTGAAGATTCACACGATTTAGGTATATCTCTCTTAGTTGAATCTACCAACTTTTTAATTCATTTGTCTTAAATATGTAAATATATATATTATTATATTAGGTGTAAGGAATGGGAATAATCTAGGTAACGAACAATTGCAACAGAAAGATTTGCGAGACTTAAGGGATGAAATTACGGGAACTGAACTAGTTGTGTTATATGATTATAAGGCGCAGGCGCCAGATGATTTATCTGTGAAACGAGCTGATTGGATTTATGCAGATCTTGGTAATCAAACGGTTGATGGATGGCTTTGGGCATATGCACCTAAAACTCGAAAGTATGGTTTCATTCCTAAAGCTTATGCTCGTCCACCTGCTATGACCAGCCTCTAGTTTATAAAGATTCTTTCGTACTCTAATGTTTTATACTTTTCTATATAACAATAAAAATATAATATAATTAAAACTTATGATTTGATTTTTTTTTTCTTAATAAATGTTTGAGTTTTGTTGAAGTAAACTAAAATAATCGTTTAAATTAATTTAAAAATTGATTGACTGCTATTCATAAAAAGAATGATAATATATACAAAGGCGTTGATTAATTTAAAAATCAACATTAATTATAAATATTTACTCAAAAATATCCTCAGGTGAAAATGAGTAAATATTGACAGATTCAAATTATATAATCAATAAGATATGAAATTTTATTGATAAATGTGAATGATATCAACAACTTACCAATTGATGCCATTTAATGGAATATCTTAATTTATTTCATTAAATCCAAGTTTGATTTCTGTTATTGAACAAATGATCATGTTGGATCTTAGAACATTTCCACCAGTTAGACTCACAAACATTGCTAACATATTAATTATTTTATATAAAATGATAAATCAAAAAGTTTCTTGCTACTAATGGAAAGTAATTGATTTCATTTAATAACTTAAATTATTATTACGGCTTTTAGCTTAATAAATCATAAGTTTTTAAAATGAAAAGTGAGCACTACGACATACAATTCACGCATGCGCAAACAAATTCCGGTAGTGGGAAGTCGAACAACCGATTATACAGTTGCCGAGTCGTATCTCGAGATAACCTCTATGGCCATAAAAACGATACATCGTTTCAACAGTCGAGTTTTGGCGCCATAGAAATCACGTTTCTGCCATGTTGACTTATCTTTAACACTTGTTTCAAGAATTGTAAACAAATCTATAAAATATCATCACAAATTTAATAAATACTAATTGACATTTATTTTTAAGACCTCAAAAAAGTTGCCTTGAACTTGTGTTTTTCACGGTATCAAGGTTATTGTAAATAAGAGAGATTTTATCAATTTCTAAGGCATTCTTAAATTGAGTTTTAGGTGAGTGCATTATCAGTCATCACTAATTGATATAAATAAATAAATAATTCTCTATTTCACTTCGTTTTACTCTTTTTCAGATTTTTTTTTTTTTTTGAAGAAGGTAAAGACATAAGTTTTTGCAATGACTTCAGAAGAGTCACTAATCAAAAAATTAGACGAGCTTCGAAAGTGGCAAATGCAAAGACAAACACTATTGACTCAATTTCAACAAGAGCAAAGAGAGAAATTAAGCACAGAACAAAAGCAAATATATGAAACACTTGGTTTGTCATTGGACAATATAACCGATAACGAAAGTCTTGTAGAAAAATTAGCTATGCTTCAACTTTCTATCAGTACAGATGATGATACAGATTCACCAAAAGCTAAACCATGTAACTATACCAATACTCAAAATCCGGCTAATTTTGATAAACACGAAATAATAGTTAAAAAAGAACCTAATCCACAAATGGTGTCATCAGATGATACTGATGAATTTAATACATCCTTGAATTCGTCTTGTGAAGTGTTGAATAAAATTAATTACAATCATAAAGAGCTATCAATTCAAGAAACTCCGAAAAAGTATCAAGATACTTCATCAACAGAACTCAATGGTGTACATTCATTATCTCTTACACCAGGAAAATGTATTGATGATATTCCTGTACCTTCTCCAAAAAAAGATTTCCAGACTTTATTAGAAGAGAAATTAAAAGATTCTGGAGCAATAAAAACTAATAATAATAATGATAATAATAAGGTCACAAATGGAATTAAAAGACCGTTTTTACGAAAAGGAACTGGCTTAGCTCGATTTAGAATGGGTTCCAAGACTGATAAAAACAGTGCGAATATGAAAAATTCTAAACTTCAGAATACTCCATTGTCCACAAAACTCAAGGTTACCAAAGTCCAAAAAAATAGCTCGACGCATTGTGCAGCGAAACAAAAGAAAAACACTGAAACTAGAAGGAGAACTATTCATGGAATATCGCCGAGAAGCACTACAATTCCTAAAATTCCTCAACAAAAATTAAATTTAAGAAATGTCTCATTACCCCAAAAAGTCCTTCAAAGAAGATCACTGCCAGCTGTTCTTGTGAAATCTCCAGAACCTGATAAAATATCAATAACTTCCAATGACCAAAGTGAAATTGATGAACTAGATACATCAAGATTAGAAACTAAAATATTCGAAATGTTAGAAGAAAGAGCTGAAAATTCTAGTTTTTGTTCAAATTCTAGTGCCGTAATCGATTTTCTTCGACAATCTACACCAATCAAGTTGAGAAATATTCGTAAAAACCTTCAATCTTTAAAAAATTCTGGAAAAACAGATACCAATATTCCTAATAATAATTCAAATAAAATTATACATTCAAAAAATTCATCTTCTGACAAAAACACTCGGTGTTTAACGAATGAAAATCAAATGCTCAAAGATATTGATGCTTTGAAAATTATACAAAAATCTTTAACTGCTGAATGTCTTCATAATGTTGGTAATCAAATGATTAAAAGTAGTAAATATCAAGATTATGCAGATATTGATGATACAAAGTGTGTTTTATCCACTAAGAAGGCTGAAAGTTGTGATCTTATCAAGAATGATTATCATGAATCTGATAAAAATGCCGATGCTGACATAAGTGTACATGTTAGATTTGCTGACTATAATGAATATAAATCTATAAGTGATATATCTGTACTTTCAAAAGACTCTTATGATTATGACGATAAAATCTCAAGTAATCATTCTACAAGTGCAGAATCAGACACTGATACTTCAACTGACAAACCAGAAATAGTAGAACTAGAAGATTTAAGTGATAGTGAACAATCAAGTGGATCTAAAAAATCTTCTAATTCGATACCGTCTAACAAAAAATTTGCTGAAGCTTTTGATAATCAAAGCACTGATAACGAACATTCGAGATCAGATGATCCGGACGATAGTGATTTCGATAACACGATTTTAGAATTTCAAGAACCTATACAAAAAGTTTCAAGGTGGTCTAGTTCTGAAATAATGACAGAATGTAATGAGAAAATGAAAGCTCATCACACAGACATACACGAACTTAAACAAGACCGAATATTAGATGATGATGATACGATTCTTAAATCCGAGCTTTTAAAAAGTCGTTTACTGGAGTTAGAAAGAGAGATAGAAATATTCAGAAAAGAAAATTCAGCCCTAATGGCTTATCGTCAAAAGCTCAACAATGAACAGAATCGATTGCGAAAAGAATACGAAGAAAAGCATAAAGATTTGAAAATGGAAAAAATTCACATGAAAAATTCTCTTGAAGAAGAAAAAAAAAGAGTAATTCGAGAAAAAGCTGCTTTAGAAAATCGATTAAGAGACGCTAGAGAAAAATCATTACAAACGAAACAAGAACGTTTGGAAATACAAAACTTGAAAGAAAAACTGGAAAAACTCCAAGATGATATGAATGATAAAGAAAATCGATGGCAAGCTGCTCAAGCTCGACAGCGAAGTCAAATTCGAGTATTACAAATGGAAAATACAAAATTGAAGGAAGAAGTTGCTAGGTTGCAGGCTGCAAGGAAGAATAATTCTAGATTAAGGAAACCTATGGCTATATCTAATACCAAAGCTATTCATGAAATAAATAGACAGTTAGATAATTATAGAAATAGTATAGAACAAAACGAAGATGATATTAAAAAAGAAGAAAAGAAATCTAAACTTCCTGTAAAAAGCCATCCAGAAAAGATTGAATCGACCTCCAACCACCAAATAACAAAAAGCACTTCTACTGAAGAAGAAAAAGTGACTTATGATCAATCGACACAAGTGATAGGTAATCGAGAAAACAATTCAGAGAATACTTTACAAAAACGCTACTTGTATGAAAGTTTATTAAAAGATGCTACGAACGAGTACGTGATTAATTATAATAGTCAAGAACAACAAACAACACACAATGAAGATGTAGAGAATAGAAATAGTAATTCTTTAATTCAAATGAATGATAAAGAAACTAAAATACAAATTAATGATGGATTGAAAAATTATCAATTTGACACGATTAAAAATTATCAAAATAGCTTGACAAGAAACAGTGTTCATAATGATGATAAGGTTGCATTGAATGAAAAGTCAAGTAGTAGTAGTCCAAAAATAGTTCAAAAATCATATAAACAGTTTGTTCAAGAAGTTATCAACACAAAGAATGATGAGGCGAACACTGGTCATCAATATTCCCAACGAACACTGATTTTACGTGAAAATTCACCTAAAAAGCAAAGTATTCAGACCATTTCAACTTCTGACTTAGATAAAAATTCAACTGGAAGGAGTAATCAACTTGTCGAACATAATTCTCCAAGACAACTGCCGATGATGAGTTATGGAAATAATATAACAAATTCTCAAAACGGTTTATCAGAATTGAGAGATATGGATTCTGATTTAAATCCGCGCAGAGAGATTCAGAAGCCAATACCTCGACCTACTGAAAATACAGTTCCTAAACCGGAATGTAATCACATAAGTCAGATATCTGAATCTCATATTGATAACAAATGTGCTCTACCAACTGCTCAGCAAAATATTCGGGAAGTTAAGCACCCGGATGGTCATATAGAATTTTGGTATTCAAACGGAAACGTTAAAAGAGTTTACCCAGATCGCAATATTTCAAAAATGATCTATTACAACGGTGATGTATGTGAAACTGCTGCAGATGGTTGTGTAAAATATTTCTATGCTGCTACTAAAACATGGCAAACTACATATCCAGATGGGTTTGAGATTCTGGAGTTTCCAGAGTAAGTATTTTAATTATTGTCCTCATTTCATTGGTAATCTTTTGTATTTAATTTTGAGTCAATAAAAAACATTGTAATTTATTTTCAGTGGCCAACAAGAAAGACGTACTACTGATGGTGTTGTAGAAGTCTCATTTCCAGATGGTTCTGTTCGATTAATTCAACCTGATGGAATAGAAAAATGGGCTTTATCAGATGGTACTATTGCTGAAATATTTCCAAATGGCGATAAAATACTTTCATTTTCTAATGGTCAACGTGAAATCCACACGTCAGATCATAAGGTATGACAGATATTTAATGATTAATAAAAAACAATGTAATAATATCCTAAAGGTAATTTATCTAAAGGATAAAATTGTATCATTAATTTTTCAGAGACGCGAATACCCAGATGGAACAGTAAAATTCATTTATCTTGACGGAACGCAAGAGACTAGGTACTCTAATGGACGTGTTCGAATGAAAGATAAGGATGGCAACCTTATTATGGATTCATATTAAGATAAGAACATAACAGTTCAACGTAGGGGTAAACATATAGAACCAAGAGATTTGCATAATATGAATTTGACAAGCTTTTAATGATACTTCAAGTTTGTATAAATTCAATCGACCTTATGGATTCTCCAAGTTATCGTAAGTTTTTTACTTAAATAGCTTTTTATATGTACATAATTATATTTTTTTCATAAGAAAGATTTTTCATAAATGATTTTTTAACATAGAATATTAAAATTAAATGGAAAAAAAAAGATTAGTGTTTTTGATACGAATATTCTTAATAATTTAGTCTTTAATTGGAATTAAATAACTGATTAGGTTAATATTTATATCAATTAAGAATGTAACTAAATCAGTATTATTCCAAAAAAATAATTTTAATTTCTTAATAAAATTATATATATTAAAAAAACTATTGTCTGCTGGAAAATATTTGATTTTTTTTATCAAATAAAAATATAAAATGATTCTTTGCATTTATATTGAACAAATGTAAAAATAAATTTTTTAATATTCTATTTTTGTAAAAAAAGTACTATTTTAGATTTTGTACCTTGAAGGTTTAACACAAATAGAAATAAGTGTAACACTTGAAAAAAATTTCATGAGAATGTTTTTTCTTTTATTATAAAACGTTTTAAATGTATTAAATTATTTCAAATATCACATAATACAAAGAAATCTTTGTGTGATAACTTTTATAAATATGAAACTTGGACATTGATATGTTAACTTAAAAGTTAGTAAAAATTGATCTATTTGAAAATCAACATTTGAGTAGATATCTCAACTAGTGACCTCATAAAAATAAGATTTATTTTCTATGAAAACAATAACAATCAATGCATTATAATACACCAAAAATTAATATTTTATTTAATTTTTGTATAAATTCAAAAAATAAACTAACATTAAAAATGATTAAATCATTTTATTGTTTATTTATAGTCAACATTTTGAAACATTATATGTATGTTTTTGTTATTGACTGAATAAAAATTCCATTGTAAAATTTTCCGGTCACTAATTGGGAAATTTACTGTATTATTCAGATAATCATTTGAATAAATTTGCAATAGTGAGTTAATTATTTGAGCTAGCAATAGGAACAGCTTTTGATTCTTCATCAGTTAATGATTCAACATTTTTTTTACTAATTAAATTAGTTAAACTGTAGTATTTATTTTTCAACGATTCAAGTGAATTAAGCGATTGAAACCTAAACAGTTTCAAAAATTCCGATTTGTTTGATGTTGTATGAATAGCTACTTTGGCTGATAAAGTTTGTAATGAAGACGTGTTAATATTGTCAAGTGAACTACTTAATCTAGATTCTCTTGAGTTCAACAGGCTTAAATGTTTGAGTTGTGATAAAAAATTACTTTTTGCGTTATCATAATCCTTAGAATTTTTAAGTGTAACAAGCTCACAATTATTTAATTCATTCGAGCTTTTTAGAGATTCTGTTTTCATGTCAGATTTATCGAAATCAGTATTCATAGACCGATTATCAAGAGACATTGAACACGTATTTTCTTCAGATGTTTTAGGCAAATGAATATTACAATCAGTCGACTCCGAAGATTTACATTGGCTGCTGATTAAAGTTTCTTCATTTAAATGAATTTTTTCACCTAATTCATCGTCTTTTTCGATTCTATTTAGTTTACATTCATCATCTTCTTTCTCATTATTGTAATTCGATGACGTTGAATTCAGTTGTAGGTGTTCGTTAGAAAAATCAGTCTTATGGGGATCAATATCGAATTTACTTTTGAAGGACGTTAAATTATTCAATTTTTCCATACTCGCTTGGAGTTCCAATTCCCACTGATTTAAAGTCGATTCACTACCATCGATTGATCTCGTAATATTGTCTATATTTTCTTCAACATTGATCTGGAATATATTAAAGTATGAAAAGTAAAAAATGTATCATAAATAATCATTTATATTCATAAGTAAATTCACCATACCTGACAACTTTTAATGTTGCTACTAGTATCAGTATTATTATTATCTGAATTATTCATTTTGTTAAGCGTCATATCATTTTGTTTTTTCTCATTAAAAAGTTCCATAGGGTTGGTTAATTCAGCTCCTACACCTGGTTCGCGTGGACCATTAATCATTTTATTAAGATCTCTTCGCTGTTGATGAATTTCATTACTAATTTCTTCTAATGCTCGAAAGCTTGTGGCATAAGTTTGTTTTGCATTTTTTACGGCTTGTTTTAAACATTCTATTTTCTCTTTCTGAGAAGCTAAGGTTTGTTCCCAATAAGAAGATACTTCAAAGTATGGTCGTGCTTTTCGAATGGCTTTTCGATATTTTTCTTCAAGCTCTTGTACTCTTTGTTTGGCTTCATGAAGAAATGCAGCTTTCTTTTGAAGCTCTGCACTACATTCTGCTTTTTGATTTTCTGCGTTCATTACCTAGCAATATTGATGAGATAAAATCGATAAAAGTTATTCGTTTTATCATTTCATTACCTTAATTGTAGCATGGTTTAACATTTCCTGCCATGTTTGATCAAATTTCGCCTCATGCTTATGTGATTGAAACCTTAGTTCAGCTACTGCTACAGTTTCTTTAGCAGCAGCATGAATTCCGCTAGCTTTGTGATACAATTGTGCTTGATAATTGCCCTCTATCTGAACAAACAGAATATTTCAAAATAACTTTTAATTGAATACTAATATCTGGAAATAATTCTGAAATCATGGGAAATTTATTTACATATTTTTTATTTTTGAACAAATATGACATGAGCTAGGAATATGAGCACGTGGAAAAAATAAAAGAGCAAAAAAATAACATATATAATTTTCAATAGTATATGATGACACTCTAACGATGTTATTCACTAAAATTACTGACCTGTGCTTGACGAGCGGTTTCAACCGCTTCATAATAACATTTGGCTTTTTCTATACAACTATGTCCTAGTTTTTCAAGAATTTCTTTCTTCTGACTTTTTGATTCATCGAACAATCTATTAAAAGTATTATGAGCAAGCTGAAATAAAAATAAATTAATAAATAAATAACTCTAAAATAGTACAAAAATATTATAGTGGAAAATTTTATCATAAAAAATTTCATTATTTTATTTACAACAAAATATAAAATATTATAATAACTCACCTCAAGATCAATTTCAAGTTTATTAATATCATTAGTTGCAGTATTTAAATTTTCTAGTTCAATCTGAAACAAAAGTTAAATAATATTTTGAAATGAGTCATTGAATAAATGCAACAAACTGTCATTTTTCTGCTGCCATGAGTCAAAGATATTTTCATTCATATTGTAAGCTATACTCGTTGATTAATTTGCATGCATTTGTAAATCTACATATTTGGGTCATATTTCATGGTATTTACAAACAATAATTTATAAATAACAGAGTAGTATACATTTATTACCATTTAAAACTGGTCCAATAAAAAATAAACTATACATAAAGAATGATTCTAAAACGAAATCATAATAATAATAAACACAATGAAAAAGAAGCAACTGAAGGAATATGTAAATAAATGTCAGTTAAAAAAGGATGCTGTGTTATGGAGTATAAAAAATATATAATGGAGGACTATGATGCAGAGACAATTTACAGAATAGCTTTATTAAGGAACACCCTGAAAATTCAAATAATTTATACGCATAACCTACAATCTATTGATGATATAAACAATTTATTTAATTAAAAAACACAGTTATTAATTTTAATTACCTGTATTCGTGGGTCTAAAGTTCCTTCAGAATCATTCATTATGTATTGCTTAAGTTACATTACCGTTTGATTTATTTACATTTAAGTTATTGCTACTCCAGCACAACCATAGTTACTAGTTTTCTATATTCCATAATTCTTAAAATTATAACTGATTAAATAATTAAAGATTTATAAATATTTAAGTAAAATATAACGACGTTTTGGTAAACGAAATGTCTTCCCACCACTATAATTTTGTGTTACTTTCTGTTGCCCCACCACTTTTGTTTAGGAGAAGAATGTTCAACCTAGTGGCGACACCTGAAATCATTACGTCCTCCATGTTGTATCGGTGACGTTGTTTTCGTCATATGTTTGTACTCATTTTATGCACTCAAATCTACACACAGGATTTGTAAGATAAATTTTGGGTGCATTGATACGTGATTAAATTATGTGCCAATAATTGAGTTGTATTATCAAAGCATTGCTTATTCTAAGTTTAATATAAACTTTTGATCAATTTGTCAAAAGTTTCATAGTAATATTTTTTATTAAGAAACAATTTAGAAAAGAAATTAGTGAAAAATGGCAGCAGAAGAAAATTCGTGGCGTACTCAAACATTCAGACAGAGTGTAATTGCCAAAATGTAAGTAACTTTTATATTATAAACAATTTTTCCATAACTTGCTAATTTTTCAAAAAATTAAACATTCTCAATTGTTTTTTAAGTGATGAGGCAATTCAACAATGCGGAACAACTCCAGCAAAGAATTCTATTGATATGGAAAACCACGTATTTTTAAAAGCTAAATCCAAGGTCGGTTATCATAACTTATGTATTTTTCAGTGTATTCTGATATTACTATTATGATTATTAATATTATCATCATTATTCATTTATGAACAGGAAGAGTATCTAAGCTTTGTTGCAAGATTAATTTTGCACGTGAGAGAAATGAGTAAGTTTTGTGTTCTATCTATCATCATAATTACTTTTTAAAAAAAAAATCTTAAACTAATAATTGATTGTTTATAGATTCCAAGAAAACAGGGATGGCACCAGGAGCAGGTGTTGCTACTGGACAAGGAATTCAAAGTCCTATGGATGCTCTCCAAACTCTTGCTCGGCAGGGCACGACTAATAATCAAGTGATGGGAATGGCTGCTACAGCTCCTAATCAGCAAGGAATGATGCCTCAAACAATGAATACTGCTAGTAGTCGTAAGTTTTTTATCGAACTGAAATAGTTCTAAGAATTTTTATAAGAATATATTTAGACTGATGATCTAAAATTTGATAAAATTTTTTTTGATTGTTATAGTACTTCAAAGTTTAAACCAACGACCTAATCCAGCAATGAATATGCCAAATATGCAAAATAAATCGCAAGGCATTGGTATGATGTCAGCTCAGACAAGTGGAGGAATGGGACATATGGGACCAATGCAGGGAATGCAGTCTGCACCGATGATGACTCAGATGAATCAAATAAATCAAGCAACTATGCCTCAGCAAATAAACCAAATGGGACCTACACAAATGGGGCAAATGGGACCAACACAAATAGCTACAAATCAAATGCAACAGAATATTACGGTAATGAAAATAAATCATTTTATTGATTAGTGTTCTCCACTTTTTTCTTTTTAATTAAATGGATGATAATTTTTGCATAGAACCAAATTCAAACGCAAATGCCAGGACAGATGGGTAATCAAATCGGCGGACCAATGGGTAATACAATGCAAACAACTCCTCAAACTATGAATCAAATGGGACCTGGACAAATGGGTCCAGGACAAATACCACCTCAAATGGGTCACATGCAACGTAAACCAGTTGAAATGATAAATGCTGGTTTTCCTGGACCACGTAATGTTACACCTAATCAATTTTTACGACAAAGTCCATCACCTTCTGCCCCTAGTCCTGCAAGTCTTGGTGCTCCTACAAATAATCAGATGGTTGCTTCACCAGCACTTGTTCCATCCCCTAGTCCGCAACATCCTATGATGGCTGGGCAGCGTTCTGTAGGTATGGCACCTTCTCCAAGCAGTTCTTTGAATACTCCTAGTGGTATGGGAGCAACACCAAGTCCTCAAGATGAACAAGCTTATAGAGATAAAGTCCGACAGCTTAGTAAATATATTGATCCATTAAGAAGAATGATTACTAAAATGGGAAGTGAAGGAAGTAAGTAATTTATAATGATTATTATGTTGTTTTTTTTTTAAAGGAGTGTATTGTAATGTAATTGTTGTTTGTAGATATTGATAAACTCAGTAAAATGAAAAAACTTTTGGAAATTCTATCGAATCCAATGAAAAGAGTACCTTTAGAAACGATAATTAAATGTGAAGTAGTGCTAGAAAAACTTGATTTAAAAAGAGGTGAAAGCAGTGTAGGTCCTCTTGGAACATCCATGAAAGAACACCATTTCTTTAGTCCACTGCTGGAAGCTGTTAGTAATAATCTCCAAAGCCCAATGGCGAATCATACACTACAGCGAACATTTGGTCCTTGTCTAGAAGCATTGTTTGGTCCCGAAATAAAGTAAGAATTATTATTATTATTTATTTTTTATCAAGTTAATATTTTCATCAGCTAATCTCGATTACTTAATGTTTTTAGAAGTTTACCCCAGCCTTTGAAAAAACAGAAGGTCGAGGAATCTTCCAGTGAAATCCCAGAAGTTCTTCAAGGAGAAATCGCTCGTTTAGATCAACGATTTAAAGTAAGCATACAATCTTAATTCCTTGATATTTATTGTCATTGGGGGATAAGTATAAAACACTTGTATTCTTTATTTAGGTCAGCTTAGATCCAGCCCAGCAAAATGGTTGTAAATGCATTCAATTAATCTGTTGGCTAGATGATCGTCATCTACCATGTGTTCCACCTGTCTTAGTTACTGTACCCTCAGATTATCCATTAACTCCTCCTCGCTGTGTTATGGCACCGCATGAGTACACAACAGCATTTTTAAGTGCAGTTCAAAAAGCCCTTAATGCACGAATTACAAAACTTCCTCGACGTTATTCTGTCTCGCAGCTTCTTGATACCTGGGAAATGAGTGTACGGCAAGCCAGCGCACCAGTTCAGAATCCAGTAACTCCTGCGTCTGTTTTATTAGGATTATAGGAAATATTGGATCAGTAACTGAAGAAGATTTATTAAAGAAAAATTAGTGAAATTTATCATTAGATTTAATTAATATTTAAAAAAAAAATTATTGAAAAATCATTTTAAAAAATGTTTGTTAAGATAAATCATGAATTTAGTAACGATTTTTGCTATTAAAAATCTGAATTATTTTAAAAATAAAAACTCATAAAATCATTGATAACAACTAGAAGAATAAAGGCTGATTTTAAAATTCAGTTTTATTTTTGTAAAACTTGGATAAAGTATGAAAGACAATATTATGTAAAGTATTAATAATTATTGTTTGAACAATATACCAAAATGTATTTATAGAAATCAAGGAATTTCTTTATATTTTGCACCAAGATAACACACACAATTTGAATAAGTTATCAGCAAATATTCAAATAGTATACATATTACAATACACCAACCTAACTAAACCTTAATCTATACCTTGTCAAAACACATACACACTCACTATTGTAAATACCTATATAATCTCATCACATACTGACGTTAAACACGTGTACAAGTTATTCAAACCGGTAGAGAGTTTTCTATTCTTTTCCTTTTTTCAATCCAAAATTGAATATGAAGACAATACGTTGATTGAAAAAAATAACATTTAATTGAGTAACTGATATTTTATAAATATTTAACAACACCAAAAAATCCATTACAAATATTTATCACTCACTCGTGGCGGTGAAACTTGAACAATGACGCACGAAATAAAGCTTCCCAAATATGAAGTAGTTTTTTATTTTATTGTATGGACTAGTGGCGTTTTGTATTCTCTATATCATTTATATTTAGCTGGATCTTGTAAGTAACTTTAAAAAAATTAATTTTCCAAAATAAAATATTTGTATTGCAACAAATTATAATAATTATTCTTCAGATTTTGATTACGTTGAAGATCGTCATGGTGATTTTGCACCTGGATGGTCTTGGATTGAAAGAAAACAAGACATATCTGATGATGAATGGATAATTTGGATTCCATTATTGAAACGTCTAATACCGTGGCTTACAGCACATCTTCTAATAGCACAATTAATGAAATATTACAAATTTAACAGCACAGTTATTTGTTCTTGGTACATCTTCATTACTTCAATGTTTTTATACAATTACTTCGGCGTAAATGGGATGATTATCATGTTTATTCAACCCAGTTTATCATGTCTACTCATATCAATTGGTAGCATACCATTTGCATATTATATCCTATTAGGATGCATAATATTTGCACAAGTAACATCAGCTTTCACTACATTATTACGTGATTGGGCGAATTTTGATGATAAACAATATTATATGATGACTGTGAGCATCTTTTGGGTTCAACTACGATGTATTTGTTGTACTGTTGATGAGATCAATAACTATAAGCATCAAAATATTCAAGGATTTCTTAAAAATCTTATTCGAATAACAGCTTATTACTTTTACTTGCCAACATTACTTTTAGGCCCCTTTTTCTTGTACAGTAACTTTATAAAAGGTGTAAATGAACCTTTCAACAATTGGACTTTGAAAAGAAGTCTTATATTTATTAAAAATATGTCAAAATATGTATTTTGGATTTTTTTCACGGAACTTAGTTTACATTTTATATACTGCAATGCATTCAGATATCATCCAAAAGTAGTGTCAATATTAAATGGATGGGCATTTCATGGTTTAGGATACAGTATGGGACAATATTTTTGTAATAAATATATTATTGTCTATGGTATTAGTGGTGAAATTAGTCGAGCTGATAATATTGATGCTCCACCACCTCCTAAATGTATTGGAAGAATACATTTATATTCAGATATGTGGAAACACTTTGATCGAGGATTGTATCAATTTCTTGTAAGGTAAAATTAAAGCCTACATCAGTCCATTTTCTAATTTTAAAAAACTATATATATTTCGATTAATTTTTTAGATATATTTATGGACCAATTGTTCGACTAAATATCCCACTTTCGAGGATTGTTGCTTCATTTTTGTCATTTAGCTTCATATATGTATGGCACGGACTTCACCAATTTGTTCTTATGTGGTCTTCGATGAATTTTTTGGGAATAGTTATTGAGAATGTTGGTACATATATAAGCAATACTTCACAATATGTCTACTGTCGAGAAAAAATTCTATCTGAGAAAAATATTCGACGATTCAACTGTTTAGTAGCTGCTCCATTATTGGCTATGTCTGCAGTATCAAATTTCTACTTTTTTGGTGGAATGAAAATAGGAAATTTGTTCATCTATAGATTATTTTACGGTACAATTAATACAATCAATATAATAAATCAATTAATCATTTAAAAAAATAAATAAATATTATTGTATATAATTTTACAATAGATTCATGGACTACAATTATAACGCGGATTCTTATACTTTATTGCTGCTGTCAAGTATCTACAGAAATGAAGAGATTTGAAATTCATAAGTCTAAAAAAATATCATTTTGAGGTATATCCAAAATATTAATTTTTAGCTAATGAGCGACATTCAAGTTCCTTCTTCATTTTTTCATTAAACATAGCCATTGATGTTGCCAAGAGAAAAAGTGGTGGTTTCCCTAGACCTTGGTCTTTCCACTTATTGTATTTTTTTACTAAGGAATCATTGCGGCAGAAAAACACACGAGGAACATAAAATATTTCAGAGCCAGTATATCCAAAATTTTTAAGTAGATTTAATTGAGTTCTTAATTTTTTAAGGTTCATAGAGTAAATACCCGGATTCCGTCGTAGAAGACCTTTTATAACTTCAATATCAACATTCATTTCTTTTGACATATATTCTTCTAGGTTTTTACAAGATTGAAAAAATTCTTGCTCTTCATGACACCTTAATTCGGCACTAAAATAAAAAATAAATTATATCAATGAGTTATAACACTACATGTATAATTAATAATTATTATACGATTCATAGTTTGTACAAATGTTTATCACCTCAGTACGTGATCTAAAAGACATCTAACAACCCAAGGTTTTATTGGTTTCATATTTGCCTTTTTTGCTCGCAAAATTCTTTCTTTAATTCTATCAGTTGCATATTTATAAACCAATAAATCTTCAATTATATGATGTTTGCTGATACCAGAATCTGAAATATCATTTATTAGACAAAAATAATTTTAATATAATCAATGATCATTTGAATTTGTTTACCTATTAAAAATTGTGTTACTTCAATCATTTTTTCAATTTTCACATGAAGAAGAAAAGGATACAAAACTATTTTAGTACATAAATAATTCATATCAGCCTGTAAAAGATGAAAGTATTATGAATAAATGAATTTATTTTGTAATAAAATTTTATTAAATACCTCTAATTCTGAACATAAATAATGAATTCTGTTCTTATGATTAGGAATCATTAGCTTGTCAATTTTTGAACGTTTTCCATAAATTTTAATTACAGAAAAGGGTAATTGAAATAAAGGAATGACAGAATTGATTTCTAAATTAGCATCTTTAAAAATATCAATTTTTTGTTTTATAATTTCGTTTGAATCTGCTAAAATATATACATTATCTCTAATTGTTGATTCATCAATATCTTCTTCATGCAAAAGATTAATATTGTCGATTATTTGTGTTCTGGTCATTGTACGAAATTCTTCCCGCTCTGTTATAATATTTAATGCTCTTGTTTTTGTAATATGTAATGAGCTCATCAATGTTACAATTACTCTTCCTAAGTTTATTTTTCTTTCATCTAGGTACTCTTTATAAGATTTTATTTCATGATAATCAAATTGTGGATTATTTTCATAACCTATGTTTGTACAAGTCCTTTGATTACTTAAAAAATATTTTTGAGTTTTTTGAAGATTTGATAAATAGTTTTTTCCAACAAAACATTGCACTAAACATCTTCTTAAATTTATCGACATTATGTATTATTTTGCATTTAATCGTTTAAAATAATTATTCGTAAAAATTAAACTCATTTTTCGAATTGTTTTGACTCCACTAAAACTACACCAGCGCCATCTAAGTCACTTGTTCATGAGCAACTTCATAAATACCCCGCAAATATTTATGACGCTAGTATCGATAAAGAGCGAATTTTTTGCGCCATAAAAGTCAATAAAAGATCTAAAGCTTTTCCCGCGTTTCTAAACGCTCTTTTGTCGTTTTAGCCATTTTAGTTTTTGTCTGTTTTAATCGCGAACGCGTAGAAGTATTATTCAAATATAAAATAGGAATAAAATATGACAAAATCATACAAAAATATTACATCGAATATTAGAATAAGTAATGCTAATGTTTTTCAAATAATAAAAACATTTATTTACTCTCACCAAAAATGGAAAAATTCAGCAGGTTAGAATTTTGTACAATTAATTTTTTTGATATCAAAATTTATCAAAATGCAATCAATAAAGATACTTTTATCATCGAAAAAAAATAATTCGGCTTCGGAAAATAAAAAAGTACAGACACTTTTTAATTGTGTCAAGTTAGCAACTCATAATAAAAAACAATAGAACTTTTACGGAGGATGTTTGAATCTTCAGTCTAAAGTATGATAAAAAAAAAGTAAACTTTAAAATCATGGCCTAATTAGAGACTTGTGGCCAAACATAAAAACATGTTGGAGCAGACAAACATGTTAGCCAAATTGTTCTGAAGAAGACCAAAAAGAACTTCAGCCAAAGTAAGAGTAGTATGGTAGCTACAGAGTAAAGTGTACAAACCCTCTAAACTTTATTCCTTAACAGAAATTGCAAGCATAACTACCAATATTTTATGTGGATGTTCTCTTTTGGGAATATATGAATAAATCATCCTGTATACAGGGTTAATATATATCGTTTTATACTCCAATTTCTAAAAGGTTAATAACCTGAACTTCTTATGCTTATAAATTTACTTAATTGCCAATTTTCTTATCACACATACATACGATAATTTATTTAACATAAAAACTTAATGTTATTAGCAATAATTCCAATGAAAATTATCATTTATTTCAGCAGTGGAAGGAAGTCTGCATTTTTCTTTCCGTATTGTATCGATAAGCGAATGTCATGTCGAAATGCCAAAACCACAAAAATATGTGCAGCTCAAGAGTGCACGTCGAGTAGTAAATCCTTTCTCTTTCTTGCTGTCAGTCGGAAAATAACGATGCCAGAAGCATCATCGGAGATTCATAGCAGAAATTTTAGCTATAAAACTGTTGACAGTTTATGAATTTCATCAATGGAGCTCAATCACAATTTTTTTAAATTTTATTTAAGACGTGCCTAGAAAACTTTTGGAATAGAAAGTAAGTTTTTATCAGCATATGTGTATAGGTTTATCATTCACAGTGAAAGGTTTTGAGTATTTTTCGTTTGATGGAAAACTGTAACACTATTTATCGCGAACCTGTTACTTTTTTAGTACGTTATTCAAACAGCATGGTCAAAAGAAATAGAACAGTGACGACAAAATAAACAGTAACTGAATAGAAATATTTTCTACCAAGTCTGACGTAGTCGGCTGCTACTATTCTACATATTCAGTTGAGATTAGAATTGCCAGTAGTACATAGAACCGCCAAAGAAGAATTTGCTTTCGCTGCAACATCTAGCACATAGTCTACTCCTTTCTCTTCTCTATACTTTCGACCCAGTTTTCAATGGAGCATCTTTTCTTGTAAGTGTTGTGATATCAACATTTATTCTGCTGTTGTATAAAAATTATATTATTAACATGCAAATGAACCATACAAAATAAGGTATCATTAAATTGAGTACAGGGAGAAAATATCCAAAGTATTATTCTAGTTTCATTTATCATCAATTCCCATTTATTTATATCACATGGAACGCTTCATTGAACTTATCCAATATCCTTACACTCATTGGTGTATTGAATTTTGCAAGAATACTCTCGTGAGTCAGTAATAATAGGCTGATGTGTTTACGTAAATGCGTGTGAATGTAGAGCTAAAGAGATTGGAGAATCAGTTGAATGTGTCAATTCTACCATGCGTGTAGGGTATTCGACCAATGACCCATGCGCGATTTTTGTACCTTCGTGGTTATATGAATCGCACCATTCTCTCTTCCCCTCATCCGCTGAGCTTTTGTTGGTGCATCAACCACCACACCCTGGTTGTGTTGCTTTATTCATCGTTTCGCACCACGAATATTATACGATATTCCCTGATGGTCTTTCGTCTTGCCTCGTTTTCATTCTTTCTCACTTCATTTTCCCTCGCAAATTTTCATGAGGTTTTCACACTTTTTTTGAGGTTTTGTTTCATCCACATTCGTTTGCAATTTTTTTTATCATTCAAATAATGTTTTTATATCACTTTTTCAATTAAATATCATTTAGAAATTAATAGAAAATATTATTTTCGTTTCAGATATTATGTTACGAACGGTGGAAAGCATCATAGTTTAGTGCATTTATAACATGAGGGCTTTGATGCAAGACTAAACAATAGTACATAATGACAAGCATTAAACGCAAAAAAATGATATGAAAGAAAATACTTTTGTTTAGTTCGGTCAAGCAGGTTGTTACGTCATAATTGCATGGATAGATCAAGTTATACCATTATATTACTCAGGATAATGATTATTCAGTCTCTAAATATATTTGCACAGACGTAGAGAGAGAGTAGGAGAAAGACAGGGAGAGAGTAATTTGTTTTCCGAAAATATTTATCATCAACACACTTGCTAGTGGGCACATTAAAGTTGTACAGCTTAGCCTCGAGTCGTTACTTACATTCCAGTAAACTAAAGTGACCGATCTACACTTCAGAATAATTTTGAATTTTGAATTTCTGTACCATAAATTTGCTTTATTAATTTCCAAAATCTTGTTAAGAAGTACATCGATTAGCTTAGAGATAATTCTTTTTATTCAGTGACTTGAAGTTACATAGTATTGTTTAATTAAGCTTCGAATAATCTATTTTTAAATTCATACAAACGTTATACGTTCGTTTGTCTTAAGCGTCATATACGATTAATACAGCAATCGCGTAAATTGTAAAGTTTCTTATCTCTATACATTATAAAACGCTATTCGTAGTCGTCAAGACTTCAAAAGGCTCAAAAAATAGCCTGATAACAGTCGAGTCACGCGTTGTTGAATATAATTTTTTCAATATTGTTGATAATAACATTAGTTAACTGAATTGATAAATAAATTAGTGCTCAAGTGTGATACAGTGTTAGTGTGTATAGTATATTTGAAAGCTTCTTCATGAATGAATCAGAATTTAATGAAGATATCAATGCCATTAGACCCTACATAGTTGATAATAACATTGAAAGTGACACTGAAAGTGTGGAATTGCTTCCAGAAAATTTTGGAAGCCCTAGTCCTGAACTAGTACCGATGGGATGTTTATCATGGATGAGAAGGAGAAGCAGCGGTTATCTTTCCATTTCGGTGAGTAAAAATACTATCTCAATTATGACAACAATGAAACATTATATATTATTTGATTTAGACTTTTGTAACTTTTTGCAGATTATTTATTTAGAACAAAAAACAATTTACATCAATATATATTTGTCAGTTTTATAATTGTTGATCATTCGCTGGCCTCTATGCTTAAATAAATTCACAACAACTGATAACATTCCTATCAATTTTGCAATAACATTATATTTAAATTCTATTCAAACAAATAATAGTTGGAACAGTTGTGCTGCTATATGAACAAGTCAACAACTTAATCAAAATAGAAGCAATATATATACTGATAATTCCATGGAGAATGAATGATAGTAGAGGCCAGTGTCGTCTGTTATAGTGAAGAAGGGTATAGGTGCCGGGTTCAGCCAATTTCATTGGGGTTCGCCTTTCTAGATCTCTTGTCGGGAGCATCGAGTCTCACGCGGTGAATTTTAACGAGACTTGCGGCCCACGGCTCTCAGCTAGATAAATGAATCCCGGGTTTTCTCTATGACTTCACGCTTTTTTTTTCTTTAATTCTTCACCTCTTTTCTTCTTGTGCATTGCATCTCTTCCGTCTTCTACTCTTTGGGGAAATTCCCGCAGAGGTAGTCGACGCAGATGGAGGAGGAAAAGAATTGCGAGATAACGACTGTTTTTTGTGGAAATTTTACCGGAATGAGCAATATTAAGAATTCAAATATTACATTTTCTTCTGAAACAAATGTAAAAAGTAGCTTTAAAGTAATTATAATAACTAATCTGGAATACGATTAATTTTTCATAAAGATACTTGAAGTGAATTATTTAATTAATTCGAAAGAAATAAAAATCTTTTTTCAAAGTTTAAATAAAGGTTTAAGAATATTTTTTTTTTCTATAGAATTGATAATTATAAAAAATTAGGTTTTATAAATATATTAAATATTCCATCATGTTAGAAATATAATAAGTTAATTAAAACAATATTTTTTCTATATTCAACAATAAATCCTGAGTTAAGAGAATAGTAATAAGATATTTGTTTTATTTAGAATAATTAAGATTTTGTTTAATTCAATTTTAAAGAAGAAACATTTAAAATTAATTAAGTTTGTTGAATAAGATTCGTTAAAATTAAATGAAGTATTCCACATTAGAATGAACGTTCTCTTTGAGCAACAATTCATTGTTGAAAACCAATGTTCTTCAAACTATGAACTTTAGAATGTTCTAATGACTGCATGCTAATGAGATTAAATAATTCATTTACTTAGAATAAGATATTATTTTAAATATTAACATAATAATTCTTTATCTTAATACCTTTTGAATTTTCTTTGACTGAACGGTGGCATTTCCATACCAGTATATAATGTAATAGAGAAATAGGAGATGTCAAAGTTTTACAAAACTAGTGAAGTTCAAAGTTGTCGGTTAAATAGTAGGATTTAGTGTAATCTTGTGCTAGAATGAAGCCATCCAATTTAGATCTTCAAAGCTTTCTCCATTGAGAGAACTAATTTCAGCATTCCCACTTCAGATCTAATTCTTATCTAAAGTATTTGATGTTTCTAATAGGTTCAAGTTCATATTGGTTTCGAATTGTAATTTCTACCATTGGTAGTTCTATGGTTATTCTCAGGAAATTAAATTATATGACTTCACAAAAGCCATGTATGCAACTAATTTCATTGTATTCTACACGGAGAGAAAGGAATTCTAAATTTTACTCCAAAAAATAGTAGTCTGTCGCTTCAGGTAGAGAAATGGCAATAAGCAACCGTTTAATTAGTATACATGACAATTTTTTCTTGTAAAAATTTTATTACATACTCAAATTGTAATATTTTATATTTATCCTTGTATAGTTCACAATTTTGATTCATAATAAAACTTTTACAAGAAAAAATTGTAATGTATACTAATTAAACAATTGCTTATTACCATTTTTTCTATCCGAAGCGACAGACTACTATTTATTGGAGTAAAATTTACAATACCTTTTTCTCCGTGTACAGTATATTAATATAAAAAATCTTCCAACTATCTCACATAATATTTTTTATTAATTATTCAAACTAACAATTACTTAAATATAAATATTGTTAACAAAAGAATTAAAATCATTTCTGATAATGAAAAATTGAAAGAATAATTTTCTTAATATTGCACATTTGTATCTTTAATTGAAGTATCTTAATACTATCTTCATTTTATCTATACTTAGTTTTATTTGACTTAATTGTAGTTTATTTATGTACTTTAATTCATGTGAATATTTTTTTATAATTGAGGTATTACAAAATTCACTAATAAATGATGGCTTAATCACATGGAAGTACCTTTGACGTAATCTCTCATTTTCTCTACATAATAATACTTAGTGTACACGATTCTGATTTTACCTCTTACAGTCGACAATTTACCTTCTCCTGAATAATCTTCAATTATTCATTGCATGTATTACTGCGTGAACAGAATAGAAATGTACTCATGTCATGATCTTCGACAAGAGGAGCCACTCTCATTTCAAGTTATCTGAATGCAAGGAATTATTATGAGTAGAGAAAAGGTACATAGTTGTATGAAGAGTACCTACATTTAGAGATAGAAATTCAGTTGAAAAAAGATACTTAGTTGATAAAAAAACCCCGTAAATTTTCTTTTTGTTGTTATAATGATATTGTAGGGCTTATTGATTAAATGTAAATTTCAAGCTGGTGTCATTTATAACAGGATAACTATGGTTTTATTTTTTTACCTTTTTTGAAAGCTTAAAATTTAATTCACGCTTTGTTTTTTAACTGTTATAAATTACAAACGCCTTTTAAAACAGTGAAATTTATGTTTGCAGTAATTTGTTACGTATTTGACTTTATAGAAAAAAATTGGCTTTGACGTTCAATTGATTTCCTAATGGTTTGAAATTAATATTCCGAGTTTTTATTTATTGATGCTTTATTCAATATTTATCGAAGAAAAAACGAGCTTCTAAAAAAAATTAAATTTTCAATTAGTTTTTTGTACTTCTTATGCAGTAGCAAATGATATTTTTTTCTAAAAAAATTTTTATTTAGCTTTCAATTATTTATATAATTCTTTTTTTTTTTTAACTTGAAAAACAGTTTATTTTTAAAATGTAGTTGATAATTTTTAATCACATTTTTGAGTTTGTAGAACATAAATCAAATTTTTTACCTACGTGGAACATTCGCGACAAATTTAGGTGTATATAACAATGAAAAATGTCCCTTTTATTGCATCTTTTCTCTTCTATTATATTAAAATTTTACACTCGGAAACTTTTAATATTTACCATCCACTTTTTTCTTTTCAGTAAACAGAAAATTTTTAATGAATAAACTTGCAGTTTAACTCTGTTTTATTTCAATAATTAAAGTTTTCTCACTCTTTTAATTTCTTGCAAAGTTATAGAGTTCTGAAAGCTTACGTAAATTTGCTTAAAATTTTTTTCCTAATCGTAAGTATTATTCTCGAAGCTGTTTTTGTTGTTGCTAATAAATTAGTTGAAATGTGCCATTATTCTCACTTGATATTTTTTTTCCCCCTTCTAATACTATTCAACGTCATAATATTTCTTCAAACTAACTGATGACACGAAGCCTGACAAGTCATAAACATTTTTATAATTAACTTCTATCTTTTATTTTTTATTTTATAAACAAGTTTATCTATGCTTTCAGCCTGTCACTATTCTAAAATCCTATCAATTTCCATGTGTAAACATTCAAAGTAAATCCAAGAGTTTTCTGTTTATTTCATTCGACTTTTTTTTTTTACTGAAATGTAATTTGAATTCTATTTATTTTCAAAGTAATTGCTAATTTATTAATTACATTTAGACATTATCTCATATAAATTTCCATCTCAATATAATTTAAAGTATCTCAAATATTCAATAAAATTTCAGTCCCATTTCCTCTTGTATTTCAAATCAATGAATTTTTTTTAATGGATTCTTGGATACTTAATTACTTGATAATTTTCGTAATAACGCCGAATTAATTACACACTTGTTTAAACTACAAGTTTACCTACTCTATTAAAATATACGTACATTGTTAGTGTACAAGCATCATCAACAATTAGCTATTTTCGTAAACGCGGTTAGATGAATTAACATATTGATCAATTTCAAGTAATAAAATGTTTATGGTATTCTGAATTAATTTGATGTTCAATTTTCGTTATAATTACGATGCTGGTGAATCTAATTTGAAGATGATTATCATACCAAAAATAATAGTAAAATAAATAGTAATTGTAAATACTATTGTAATAATAATAATCATCGTTAAAATAATTATGATAAAGTATCTGTTGAAGGAAATTTATATGCTAGAATTGAACATGAATTTTAAATAAAAAATTACTTGACAAGAATCTCGAAAGTTGTTGCAATAAGATAGTGCTAACGTATTCATAAGGAAACTTTTCACATACGTTTCATCAAATTGGCTTTCATTTTTGCTTCTAAATATTTTCTTACAAATACATTCGTTTTTCAATCGTTCTTAGAAAGTTTTGCGAGGAAGAACTTTATAGTGGTGGCGATAAAAATACAAAGTACTCTTAGTACTTGAAGAAGAGTCAAGAAATTGATTTTATAAAAAAAAAAATTAAGTAGGTTATAAAAATACCTTTGTGGTAAACATAATTTAGCATAGAAATGAAATTAATAACCGAATTTTACTAAATGGTTCATTTAAATCATTGGTCTGTATCAATAAATTTGTCTACTGCACTCATCTAGAGTAAAATCAAATTTATCGTTTCTTAAAAATGTCGAAGACTAAAAAGTTTCATGTTAATATTTTTTCAAAACTGTCATATTTGTCTTGGCTATTTCTTTAAAATATTTTAGACACTTTGCGATGTTTCCTCTTCACATTTTTATCTATGGACAAAGTAAAAAGAATATAGAGACAAGATTTCGGTAACAAAGTTTTTCCTTTGCATGGAAAAAAAAGAGAAATAAAACATTACTG